AACTAAAAAGTAACTTTTAAATTTAAACCTAAGACAACTGAACTGGGTACCTTGTTAGCTGTTGATAAAGACATTAAACTGTTAGAAAAATATTTTTTTCAATTGACAATAGTAGAAATATTGAAACATACATGTATATAACCCTTCAATTTCAATTTTTCACAATATCAATTCAGGATTCTTCGCAATGCCACAACTTCCCATCATGTTCAGCACAATTACACATTCAGTTAAGACTTTGCCTCCAAATTCAGTCACTTTGGTAACTTTCTCTTCGTTGGAATGTACTTAGATTTTAAAACGTACGCATATCTGACTTTTACTCCATGTCATCATTTACACTTTACCCAACAGTATTACCGCAAGGCTCCCCCCCCCCCCAATAGTCTCTGGTTTCTGGTTTGTGTGCGCGTCGCCGTAGCCGTGCTAAAATTAAAAAGTTTTTTTTCAATATACCAGTAAGATGATGTCTCTAAACTGCCAAACTCACTGGTTTGACTGGAATCCTGCTGCAGCACAATCTTAACGTGTTTTTAGATGGGGTTACGATCGAGTATAAGCTTTATGTGGCCTCTCTTGGCTCCCATATATTTTGCTCTAAATTTACATGTAGTAGGGTACCATTAGCAGACAGTGTTGTAATTTTGTAATTGTGCATCTGGAAGCCAGACTGAGGGAGCGATGGTCGTGTATCTGGAACCTGTAAACGCTTTTTAATTAGCGCAATATGTAAGGGAACAGACTAATTACCAGCCTGGCAACTCATACACGATGTCGATGTCGCTGTATGGCCTAACGTTACTACCGCTTTCTCTGATTTTTGTCTTGACAATCCAAATTTCCTGAAGAATGTTCGTTGTCGGTCGAGATCGTAACTGAGTGCAGAATTCTCAAACCTCATGGCATTACTGAGGTTACCTCAAACTCCACTCTGAAGGCCGACATTTTAAGAAAAAAAAAAGGAGGGGAAAAAACAAAAACAAAAGTGATGCGGCGACGCATCACTTTTGCGGCAAGCTCCATACCAGAAACCAGAGAGTTTTTGTTCTTGGCCTAAGGTTCATTTCCATAAATTATACATTAGACAAAATACCTGCATCTTGCCAAGGTTGTACAAATATTAAGGATACAATTTTAGTGCTTGATTTCCATAAATGATACATTAGACAAAATACCTGCATCTTGACAAGGTCATACAAATATTAAGGATACAATTTTAGTGCTGGATTGTCATAAAAATTCTTGTTCCAGATGGCAATGCATTTGCAGTGCTTAATTGGGAAAAGCATTGTTTCTGTTCAGATTTTTTTTCCCCTACATGTATTTCTTTTTTTTCCTTTTTGTTCTATCCCAAATCCCCCAGACTTTGTACACGTTTTGTTCCCCGCGGTATTTTGGACCTAAATCAAACTCGTATTCTAATGAAACTTGTCCCATGTTAAGACCCCATAGTGACATTGTGTACCAAAGAGTGACGTCACTTTTAAGGGTAAGTCTGATTGTCTTGAAACTTGGTGGGTACATGTAGGTAGATAGTGTTAATAGTATTAAAAATCTGAAGTGACGTCATGATGACGTCATCACCTGTTTTTTAAAATTAATTTATCAACTTTTCTACATTTTCTTCTAATACACAAATTTGACAAAGTATTTCTTTACACGTATTATTTCAAAAATGCGGAAAAGCCTGTGTCCTGTTCATCGAACAGGCATAGCTCTAGTTTCATTTTTCTTTTGTCAGGCATGTACATGTAAGGTGCATTCCAGTTTAGTGATATTTCTCATTTACAAACTGTATTTCTCAAATACACACATGTATACGGTACATGTACATTTTGTACATGTACATGTACGTACACGCACAGCCTAAACTTTTTGGTATCTTTGTTGATTTCAACACATATACACTATAGGGCCTACACGATGCAATATAAAAAAAACCTCTTTACTAACTCCTTCAATAAAGTATTGAGTTCTCTTTTCAGCATGCTGAGGATATTACACTTCCTATGTACCGGTGTTACTTTCAAACAGCATGGCTCAAGAGATACAAACACAGGATGGAAACATGTAACTGATAAAAAACGCACCAGCAAACAAACACAAGTTTGTCATCAGCTGATGTAAAGAACACCCCCCCCCCCCCCCCCGCGCGCTACGTTTTGAGAACAAAGTTTCTCAAGCCATTTGCTCAGCATGTACCCCACCGTGTGCAGTGAATTTTTGCTGCATTTTCTGCCTCACGAGGCTGTGAGGCCAATTTCCATCCTGTTTGATTTCTTTCGCCTCGCGAGGTGAAAATCTTACCGTGCACGACGAACCTGAGCTACATAGATCTACCGGTACGTGCTGAGCTCAAAAGATTAAACAGCCAATGAAATAACGTACATGTACCGGTACTCTGTACACATTATTTTAAGATGTTTTGTGCAAATCTTCTAAAGCGTGCTGGATTGTCTTGGATAGTTAATCTTTTTAGCTCAGCACGTACCTCAAGCCCCCCCTCCCCACACGAGAGCTACGTGCCGAGCAAATAGTTACTTGAGGCCATTTGCTCAGCACGTAGCTCAGATTTGCCGTACGCGGTTAGGTTTTTGCCTTGCCCTGAGGCGAAAAAAACAAATAGGATAGAAATTGGCCCCATGAGGCAGAAAACACAGCAAAAAATTCACTGCACACGGTGAGCTACGTGCTGAGCAAACGACCTCAAGACACTTTTTGCTCAGCATGTTGCTCTCGTGTGCGTCAGGCTTTCAACACTTTTTTTTCCTCTCCAAATGCCTAGCCATTTTTATTATTTCATGTTGCATACCCATGTAGTTGTATGCCTCCCTTGCTGCAAAATTTACAAAGACTTGCTCAGCACTCATTTGTAGAGGTACCGGTAGTAACCAAGTCCATTTGGATAACTTCATAAAGTCGTAACCAATGAATAATCTTGTGCACTGCCCAATAGGCTTATAAAATCTACTTTACTGTATAAGATAAAGTATGGCACAACAATGAAAGAGCTTGCAAGATTTCTATAACAACGTAAGTTTACCATACATGTGTGGGGCGTACCTCAATTGAGAATAACACTGACTCCCTGAATTGACATCATATACAGGTACATTTGTATTTTTTAATAAAATCTTTGAAAACATGTGTGCATACATGTATGTACAAACTGTATGATAAACTATGTGTTTAAAAAATAACTGTAAATCAGTAGGCCTATATATTTATTTTTATGACTGGCACTGACCAAAAATATGTACTGTAAATGGCACTATATTCAGACAAACATACATGTCCATGTACATGTACACACAGGTACATATACCCTATACATACAATGTACATACTGGTACACGTTGTACCAGTAGGTACTGATGCATTAACTTTGTGTACACACAAACATGCGTTCACCGTCAATCGTGGACGTCCTATTGTCCCTCTTTTGTACATTTATATTATGCAAATTCATTCATTAAAAGTTTTGTGCGTATTATGAACCTTTTCAGTGATGACATTGAGCATCACACAAATTGCCCAGACACACACACAAAATTGTCATAAACCTTATCTGTACACAATGTAAAAAAATCGACTTAGTGAAAGTTAAGAGTACAAATCGTTGTAATTTATATCAACAGAACAAACAAGAAACTGACCTACATGTATACGTTGTCATTTGTATTGTCTAATGGCGTGTGACAAGACAAAGGAGGTGTCGATGTATGAAATACAATGTACTAGGTAGTGTGCACGCACACATTTCAGCTGTGGTAGATAAACATTGACAACAAAGTGGCAACACTCAATATGCAAGGCTGGAAACTCTTAGATAATATCGTTACAAAAATACAAAACTACCATAAAGGCTCAATACAATAGGCAAGAATCTGTGCACCCCAAACTGGTTTAAATTGCTATTTTTTTTATACAGTTTAAAAAAATTATTTGGGAGGAGGGAACGGAAGGATAAATCAACGCTTCTTTTAAGAGGAGCATGAGTGCTAGGATCTCGAACCTTCTACGTATAAATTGCTTTGTTTGGGACAAAATGTCTGAAATTCATACAACCCGGTACTAGTAGGCCTAGTTTTTTGTAAATTGCAAATCATTGAAACAGGGTCTGAATTACTGCTTATTTTAGACATGTATATTGGCCCCTCCCCCAAAAAGGAGAGATTTATACAGGGGATACGGTACTGGAACATGGTAGTATAGGCATGAACAAGTAGATATTTCTGTGGATACCGCCATCTTTGTTGTCATTTGGTAATTTCAAGGGGCATTGCATCAGCATGCCGGTAAACTGCCCAGCATACAATGGCAAGATGGGACGTACAATTTTCAATAAAGTTCTCCCTAAGATTACTGAGTGACCTCAAAGATGGGAGTATCCATGCAGTGGTCCATGGCACATAAAAGAAAGGAGACACAGAACAACCACAAAATAACCTGAGCTGCATGTAAGGACAATTCAATTGGTTGTTGCCATAGCATGGATACGACTGGAGGTGATAATTAATCCTTGTACCACCTGCCAACAGGCCTGCAAAACCGTGGCTCTGCATGCAAAGTGCTTCCGTGAACAACAGCCCTGAAGAGAATATAATCAGGGTTGGTTTCTGTGGCTGGTGAACAGGGTATCATTTGATGATACTTTGAGTGCATTCGATTACATCCCCCAGCTTACACGCGCCTGGCTCCTTGCTTGATGAGACATGCGCAGTGGAGCTACATGTGTAAATAAACAAACAGGTTTTGGGTAAAGTTTCGTGCAAGCGGAGCTGGAAAGTTGAACTTTGACATGCAACAGGCTGCATCCGAATCAACTGTCTAGAACTAGGTCTAGGTCCACGCCCATAGAAAATACGCGGGGACGCGCTGACAATAGACGTACATAGCCATAGCCCTGGAAGCCCGTTTCGGACACGGCCTGAGATGCCCGCCGGACGTCACGTTGGCAGCCATGTTAATTGCATGGCCTTATGGGATACTTACCCAAGTAACCGGCTCGGCGAGTCGGTTACTTGGGCCAGGCTCGAGTAAGCGCGAGATGTCAGTGAGAGGTAAATCGAACGCTGTTGCGCCTGCACAAGTAAGCGCTGGGGAAGTAATCGAATGCACTAAATGTACCTGTAGGTTCTGATGATCAGTTTTGAGAGTGGGACACTCTTATAAAAGTGTATGTGTAGTGTGCAGGCATACTTGGAAAAGTTTATTAAATCTTTATATGAATGGAGCAAAACATTTTACACAATGTACATTTGTAACTACATGTGGTTGACTCAATAAATAGTTGCTGTTTAAAGTACATTGTATGCATTAAACAGGGTGCTTCTACATGTAAGGCTTTGTAAAGTTAATAACTTGAAGGCATGCATTCTTCAATTTGTTGTACAATAAAACTATGAAGGCACAACGCGTGATCCTACTTGAAATCTTTTGATTTTGTTTGGGAAAATGTGTGAGCAGATTTTGAAAATTTCTCGTTAAACCACAGAGCATGTGAACATTAGTGAACAATGCATGCAAGTGTTAGTACAGGAACTCCGACACATTTTGAAGGCAAACATGCAGGTACTCAATCAGGTTATAGTACTGGTACCAACTCTGTGTGATATTAGTCCAACAAACATGTACCAGAATCGATGCACTGTCTGAAAATGTCTAAATCCTTAGCTTGTCCATACAATCCATACCAAACTGAGGGATCACATCGCATCACAGAATAGCTACTTGACACTGATATTGTTGGCATGGCAATTACAATGGCAGCAGGGTCCTTCAGTTGCCGTGGTCACAGTAGATATTGTATTCTCATCACTAAATTCGTCTTCCTCACCAGTCACCTCCAATTTGGATTTCTTAGATGACCCCTTCCGTTTCCCCGTCGCCTTACGCCGGATTTTACTCGTTCCATCGTTAGGATTACAACTGCTATCAAATGAAACCTTTTTCCCAAGAGGCATTTTAGTGTCCTTTGGGATATCATTTTGAGGTAGTTTATGGTTTTCAAGTGCTACATGTACGTTGTTACTGTCCATTCCCTGAATCTCCTCAGCGGGCACTACATCTGATTGGCCATGGAAGGCGTTGCTGCAGTTGTTATTACAGGAGTGATCCGCTGTCACAACGAACTGATTTTCTTCCGTTGCTGATGGTGGCAAGTTTTGTTCACTGGATGTAGGTTCTGTTGATAAATTGGTTTCTTGCTGTTCCGAGGCATGTGTTTGTCGATATGATACAGGTCCCACAATTCCTTCCTGTGAAGTTAATTCAAATGCACCTTCCACGGTATACGAGGCACGGCGTTCACCAGAGTTTGCCTCCCCAGATCCACCATTGCGTTGACTTTTGAGTGACGACACAATTTTCTTGGCCGTTTTGCGTTCCCTTGTCCCGATTGCACTTATCACAATCGCGATGAAGGACAAACCGAAAATGTACCAAAAGACGACGGCGAGGTCATAGAGAATCTCCAATGCTTCCGGAGTTTCGTGTTTGGGATCGACTGTTGCGACATAATCCCCGAATCCGATAGTTGTTAGAGTGACGAAGCAGTAATAATGAGCGATCCTATAATCCCAGTTTTCCAAAACGGTAAATAGGGCTGCTGGAAGGAGCACCAAGAGTCCGTAAGTAAAGGACGCTACCACCACCCACACAATACACCGACGCAGTTTCCTTTTGGTCACCGAGCAGTAATCGCACAGCATGCAATCGAGACGGTCCGTCAAACGGCAAAACCACTCCCGATAGAATTGGCCCACGATGGACAGAAGCCATCCCATGAACGGTATGCCAAGGATAGCGTAGAAGATACAGAAATCTCTCCCGCCTTGGGTAGAGGGGGCATGTCTACCGTAGCCTGATGGGTGATTCGATGGGTGGATGATGAAATAGGAGAGAAAAGAAACAACATATAAGTACATGAACACAGAAAGACCAAGTGAACAGCATGATGGAGGGGTACACATTGAACCCTTAGCACTTGTTTTACCACTCCTTCTGATTTAAAAATCACAGGAGTGTGGAAAAAGGCACACCTGCATTTTTCTAGGTGTGTGTTTTTTCTAGGTGTGTGGTTTTCTAGGTGTGTGATCTGTGGTCCACGGAAATTCAGGTGTGCAATTATTCACACTTCTCGGGAAGCTTTTAGGTGTGCGATGGTGTGGGGGTGTGATCGCACGTCTCAAAACAGAAGGACTGTTTTACCACTGCCTATACACTCCTTGATCAATCCATATTACCATTATGTGCTGGGGCAATTTGGGGCAGTATACAAGGAGTATCAGGCAGGGTACCGTACTTTGGGGTGGTACAAGGATAATGGGTTAATGTTAAAGATGGATGAAAACTATCAGAATCCGATTGGTTCATGGTGCAATTGATCTGGTTAAAGATTTTTTCTTTCAGAAAACAAGACTGTTGGAATGACTTCAATGGCAAAAGAAGTAAACCAGACTCTGGTTACCAGAGTTGTTACAAATGTTACAGAACAATGACGACACCAGATTTCTTTTCACAAATCACATAAATGTTTCTTGGAGAAAAACATCTGAGATCGGCTTGCAATCGTGACAAGACTAAAAGCAATGATGGAAAACGTCTGAAATTTTAGCAGAATCATTCCCAGAAGATAAACTACAGAGCTGATTGTACAATGTAAACAAGTCAATCATTGAAGTTTGCTATTGCAAGCAAAAAAAGGAGAAGGTGGACATGTCAACAGGCCACGATGAACAGATACACTGGTATTTCCCCTAAGAGGATCATTAGTCATCCCGAGATACATTATGAACACAAATTAGTAAGGATTTATAAAATGTTTTGACCAGTCAGACAGGCTAATGGGTTGCCATGTACATTATAGATTAGCCAGTACTTAATGCTGACAGTTCATTTGTTTAGGATTGAAACATTAATAACAAAACAATGATTAATTCTGCGCAACAGCATAGGATTCAAGTAATTAAAAAACGATCCAAATATGAAGGACCTATTTACTTTATGGAGTGTTCACGGAGGAAAAGATGGAATTTTTCTTTAATATCAAAGGTACCCGGTTCTGTACGTACATATTTTTTCAAAATTTTTCTGACAAAGAGAGAATGCATTAAAAAGCCAACCATATTCAATGTTCCGTGGTTGTCATGGTTGTGGGGACAATACATTTTATGTTTACCGTACATATGTCTGATGAGGGATATAGGAAACCCTGGTAGCTATTGTGGAGACCAAAGACGCTGTCGGGACATCAGAAAGCCCACATAACTCAGTCCAATGTCCCTAACCGATAACAATACAAAACTTTCCCACAATGGGGTCACCGTTTACGCACTATGCACTAACATAATGGGGCAAAAATGGAAGGATGGGGTGTAGTTGTCACTGTGGCAGCAGTTATGACTGGCTTCTATGGGCGTGCATTTACAGGTAGTACGTGAATCGGGTACCCAATTGAAAACACGGGTATCCATGGTACCAATTAAATAGTTCGCGCTGGATGACGTGTATGCAGTGAGCTCTTTAGCTTGTAATTCACAGTGTACATTTTTTTGTAAATTGCACTTTCACAAGCGCAAAATGTGAATCTGATTGTTTTCCCAAAATGACTTTCAAAACAGCCATTCCTGACACAACGATCATGACGATTGGGAACTAGGATACCTGGTTATGATACACAACCCTATTATTGAACGTCTGTCCATAACGATCACTCATAATGTACCAGTTATTGCTGTGTGCTTTGAAACACCATACAGTAAGGAATATGGAAACACTACCTGTCTGATTGACGAGCACACCTATTGATATATTCTGGCTCATACACGTATGTACCGGTATGTGTACACAGCTTTGAAGGTACCGTGCCGGTAAATTCTTCACCGGATATTTACAACATAGGCTTGGTCTATAGTACATTTTTGCTGGTTTGAATAGGGCCAGCGTATAGTTCTCTACATGTTCCGGTATGCCTGACTCACTCACATTATGCTCTCACTCATTCACTCATTTTGAAATAGGGGTACCCCATAATGCTTATGTCCGGACCATTGTGTAGACCAGGGGTTAATTTCACGGCGCTGGTAAGCACAAACATTTGCTTAGCACAAAAAAAGTCTGGCTTATAAAAGCAGGTTACCAGCCAAAACTCCATGTGATGTATATTGCTCGTAATAAGTATTCAACTGTTGTTTGCTTACCGGTAGCAAGCCATACTTTTTTTGTGCTTAGCAGCGCCATGAAATTGGGCCCTGATCATGATGTATGTAGGAAAAGGTTTTGACAGTGAATAGCCATTCTGAATCAATTGAATTGAATTGTGTGCGCTCTGAGACCAGCTTTACAAGGCTTGTGTTGTCTTTTTTTTAAAATCCTGAGCTGAACTACATGTACCAGTACATGCGTACAATACGTACACCTTATATCCTCTAACAAATGTTTAGAGACAATGAGAAATTTAATTAAAAACAATTGATCAGGGTTGACATTGTATATTTAGGCTGACTGTTTTCTTTACTCATTAAAATGTTTGTTCACACTCATGTACTCATCAATACCAGTCTACGTTTTAATTAAATGCCAAGATGAAGACCACACCCAAATGTAAATTATCTGCGATCTTATATTAGTGATGAAGTCTAGAAGAAAACTGTTATTTGTGATAAAAAAAACCACTTTCTTCACTCTGTACCATATTTGGTTTTCCAATTATTTCATTTTGTGTGTTTTTAGATGACAGAATTTAGATGGGGGGGAGGGGGTCAAATCTCAACTATACGGGATAAGTGTGTGTTCCTTCACTAACCCCTGGCCAGCCGTGTAGAATACGAAAATGATGTTGATTGACTACATATTCAGAGCATACTGTGCATGTATTTCAAAGGCTGCACGCACTACCGGTACATGCACTCGCGTAATCTCCTGCACTTCATGTTGTAAAAGGGACGACAGAGGTAAACACATTATATTCTAGTAACGCAATGCTGAAAACTCATCTTTGAACAAAAATACTGGTAATGCTTTGTTTGATTCATGATTTTGTGCAGCATTTTCCAATCATGTTATTGGTGTTGCATGTACATGTACCTGTACATGTACATGCAGTTGTAGTATTAACGTTTTGAAAAATGGTGGGTATTTTTTTATAAAGCGCACGTATCCACCAGGACTGGTGCTCAAGGCACTACCGGTACATCATTATTACCCCTGCTCATTGGGCCCATGAAACATTCCAAATACCATCTCAGCTCCCTGGGGAGTATACAGCTCATTAGTACCTGTTAGGCGCAGGGAAGCTAATTCAATCTCAAAAACCATCTCTGCCCTCACAGGAACCCATTTACTCCTGGGTGGAGAGGAGCAATGATTGACAAAGTGCCTTGCCCAAGGGCACACGCACCATGACCCCAGGCTGGACTCAAACCCACAACCTGCAGCTTTACCTGCAGACCACAAATGCAATGCCCTTAACCACGAGGCCACAGAACTCCACTCCACAAAATAATAATCAAGCTTGAACAAAAATGTTAAGGAGTTTGGTTTGTTAGTCAGCAAGTTACATACCAGTACATGTACATTTATAAAGACTTTGTGGCAAGGCACATGAACCGACCTATGTTTTACAATTCTATACTCATTCCACTGTGATCAATTTTTTTAATCATAATGGCATATGATGGAAAATTGCAGTGTTGTTCTGTGGACTTATACCTTGTAAGCTTTGAGATCTGAATTCGGAAACTACCTGTTCAGTGTAAATTTACCGTTATAGTCTACAAATATTATCCCATCATGAATTTTCCAACAGCCAGAGCTCATGAGCAATTTCCTGATAATTCCTCGCATATGTCTTAGTAAACACGGCACACCTTTTCACTACAAAGCGACAATGTATGTACACGCAAATATTTTGCAAACTCACTGACAACATTACTGTACACATGTACGGGGCATAGCCAATGAAGCTTCCACTAGCGCTACCCCCCCCCCCCCCCCCCCCCCCCCCACTGACAGGTGATTTTGTTGCCTGTTTTCAACTCATATTATCTGGATGGTCATGTTTACCTGCTAAGTCCAAGTACTTAATTGAACAAATATATTAACTTTTCGGTTGCACCATGCAACAAATCCCTTTTATATGTTTGTAAGGTTCTGAAAAGGACTGGGGGGATTCACTGTTTTGGACAGTATGCTCTGCCAGTTGTCAGGAGACGTTTTGATTTCTGCAGCGCTTGTGGGTAAAAGATCTTTATTTTGGACTTGGCTGAATATGGTTGAACAAGAACACACACAAACACATTAAATTGCAAGCAACATCAAACTGAAACACAAAAACCGAACTACACGGTGATTTTAAAGTCAATCAAGCACACAGAAACACTCACCAATAGTGGTCACCACGGTGCCAGAGAAAAAGAAGGAACTACTAAAGTCCCAGTTGGAGTTACCGGACACGTTGAGGAGGGGGTTGAGGCCGCTCTCCACTGCAATCATGACTCGTTTGATTAAATCCTCCAACCTATCCTCAGTGAGGCACGTGAGATTGGACAGGATAGCCTCTTTAAACCGACGCAGGTCCACTCGCGTTGTCTCCTCCTGCGCCTCTTCAAGAGCCGAGAAGACCAAGGCACCGATGACCAGGTACAAGATGAAGGAAGCGACGAGAATAAGAAGACTCTTCCAATTCATCTTGAGACCGACACCTGATAACCACTCAAGGATGAAATCAAATAAATCGGTCTCTGTGGACTCAACAGCGTACTCAGTCACTCAATGTACATGTACCGGCATGCACACAGGAACTACGGTAGGCTTGCTGCAAATATGCACAGTCAACATGTAGCATGCACAAATTTGTACTCCGGAGAGCATTAGATGAGTTCCGGTATTGATACAGCTTAAAATGATACGACCATACCAGAAGATCAACGTGAGGCACTATCAAGACAACTGGTGGAGGCATTCACAGGCGAGCTCTGATGACTGTCACACAGCTTTTTGTTCCATCAACCTGGTTTAGGAGATAAAAGAAAGAATGCATGATGTCAATATTTGCTATTTCTCATATAGCCAGATGGAGACTTAACAAAAAAATTTGCCTGATTACCAAACTGACCTTTGATTCATGGATTCAAAACATTACAATCATTTGACTTTCGAATACCAATCCTTGGTTTTTACAAAGGAAGGCTCATTTCTTTTTGACAATTTGTTCAGTCCGAAAAGAATGCACTACACATTGCTAACAACAGTTATTAACATTGTTAACAGAATTTGATCCTCAAACAATTAAACTGTTTCCATGCTAAATAGCATTCCAGTTCAATAGAAGAATAAAATATGTATTTTAACATCAAGGCTTTACAGCTGTTAAAAAAAGGAAAAATGGCTCATGTACTATGTACAGTACATGTCCAAGTACCATTGTAATAGACAAAAAGGTGTATGTATTCATGTATGCCAAGCACTGCCTGAGTACACATGCATACATACATGCATACATGTACGGGTAGGTATCTCTCTTGGCAAAAGTAAGGTTAACGTTTGTGCATGCTGCATACGTGCCATACATTGTACGTACAAGTTGCCTTAAACTTGCCACAGCACTGAACAGACTCGGACGGAGACCATGAGGCCAGGTGTCCAGTGTAGATAACTCGCTGTGATTGGCTGAATCTGATTGCAGTGACTGGATAGCGCATATTTGTGTTGATAATGATGCTCAGTGAGATGCTCAGTATGCACAAAGTGGGACCAGTATTACTAGTAACTGTAGTTACTGAAAGGTCATATCACTCTTTAATTTATTCTTTGTTAAATTGTGTGTTTGTGGTTTTGGTTTTGTTTTTACAATTGATCATAGACATGCTCCGTACACCCTAAAGTGCCCAACAGTACACTAGTTGCTATAGTAACAGGAAGACTTTCAATTTGTGTGCGCGGTTTTTTGTGTGAGTGTGTGCTTTTCTTTGTTTTTTTTTTAATTTTCCAATTTTTTGTCATCACAGCTGCGTACACTAAACACACATGAACTCTCTAAAGGCCTCATTAGGTCTCTCGAGGTTCTCATTACCTGTGTGAGTGGATGAAGAAGCTGAAATTCTACAATCTCGAGAGAACACGTCGACATTGATATTAAAATACCTCCGGGAACAAAATCTGGAATAACCTTCCTTTAAGCTTAAGAGAATCAAATGCCAGCCTCATTTTTAACTTAACCTCAAACAACACATTTTAAATTAATCAGGTTTTTTTTAGTCAGTCCTGAGGAGACGGTATGCGATATTGTAGCAGTAGATAGCTACATTTTTGGTATTCATGAGTAACTTTTTCGTTTACATATGATTTTTGGCTAGGTTTACATGCACTGGGCGGGACGTTATACAATTTGTCCAGGAATAAAATGGCATATACTTTACGGCCACAATTTGTTTTCTTAGCATTTTATATTATTTGACATGTAAATCGGGAATACTGTAATATTTTGCTTTTTTACTCCCACTTTGTGTGGGTGTGTGTGTTTTTTGGGGTTTAAAAAAAAAATTGTTTTTGTTTTGTTTTTTGTTTTTATCAATTTTTTTCACAACCTGTTTTTTTCTTTTAGGTCTGCTGGGGGACTCCATGTAATTTTTTTTCATCAAGAAATATATATTTTTTTCTTTACTTTGCAGATTATTTTTTGCATGAATTTGCAATACGTGGTTTTAATGCTCTCTCCACTCATGACTCATCAGTTAGTTTTTTACTCATACTTGTATGTTTGGTGTAAAGCTGTTATGTAAAGTCTTTCTTCTTTTGTAATTGTTTTTTCTTTGTCTTACTTTATTTCCCATGTTATTTTAATGTGAGGGCTCCTTTGGAAAGAAGTTTTCTTAAAGGGAATATACACGTACAACATTTGCTTTTGTTGCAATTTTCAGAGATAAATGGATTTGGAGGATTAGTGTGCTATAGAAAATATTGTTAAACTAGCTTGTTTCACGTTTTGAGTTCGGAGATGCTGGAAAATCCAAGAAAAACAACCATGTTCTTGAAGTCTGGTTCCCTGACCCCACTTTAGATGAGACGTTGCAATTTATAGACTTTGGGGATTGTAGGTAAAAAAATCAGTCTAGCAGGCCTGTACCCCTTCACAGATGTGTAATCAGTTGCAAAGAAAATGCAGAATGACTAAAGATGAAAATGTAGGAGCAGTTTAAAAAAAAAAAAACCTTTTTCTCCAACGATGGTCGGCCGACCAGCATTGGAAAAACACAAGTTTTCTTGAAAATGTCAGCACACAAGGAGCCATGATTTTATGCTTTAGATTGTCATTCACTAACAGTCCAGTAAGATATTTCGTGATAATTTGATCATTTCGTTTTTTGATGTTTGCAAATGTTGTATCTTCCCTTTAAACTAAATTGGACTACCCTCGTTTAAGATTACAATAAAGAAAATAAAATAAAATAAAACATGTACATCTTGCCCAGATACAAATGTATACATAAAGTCATATTTAGGTAATGGGGATGCTGCAAGATGGAAAGTAATCAGGGTGTGTACACGTACGGGGTTCGTTACGCGGTAGAAAATGCAATAGAACAATAGACCCCATAAGGACGTCTTTGGAAATCTGTCTGCCCTATATTAAAGGGAAACGCCATGGAGTGTGAGATTTCAAAAGGAACAAAGGAGAACAAAAGAAGCAAGTCAAGCATCATCAAGTAATTTAAGACAGGAGTCTTATCGAGGACAGGAGTCAAGTCGAGGACGACCTTGACTATAAAACAAAAGATCGATGATGAAGAACAAAATAGCAAATCCTAAATTTACACCATAAACAAACCGATGTTAGTGTATGTGTGAGTATGTAAACACCGCCAATTTTGGGAGCTCACTTCCTGATTAGTTTCGATGTTTTTTCAGGGCCACCAAATTCTTAACATGGTCTTAGTTTTCACTGTCAACTAAGGCTCAATTTCTGCTCAATGTCTTGTAACTTGCATGCACTTGTACAGGGTGAGTAAAAAAGAATGCATTTTTTTTTATCAAGGTCAATTTTCTCGGAAATAGAATAAGGGTGGCCAAAATCTATTTTACCAGAATTATGTCACAACTGATCTGAATACATCATGTAAATTTCATTAATGTGGAGCTAAGCATTGCGATTATGTAAGCACTTGTTCATTGTGCCCTCAATTCATTACCGTTCCAAGCTCTTGGAATATACAATAAGCAGCACAGCTACCTCCTTGCATCCTGGTTGCCTGAAATCATTGCCTGGCTGCTCTTGCTTCAACTTGAAGGCCATTGAGGTGAATAATTCGGCCTGTCGTCTCCTATTAGCAACTGCCGCCCAGGTCATGTACAAATGTATATGTCCTCCTAGATCCTCAGGGATGTGATTTCAACAGTATGCCACAGAGAATTAAGATTCTTATCAGCACTCATCATAATGATCAGTATGGACCACATGTTGAAATGGGATTTGGAATGTAATAAATTGAGGACACAAGGAACAAGTGCTTACAGTATCGCAATGCTTAGCTCCACATTAATGAAATTTATATATATATTCAGATTAGCCTTGACTAAATTCTGGTAAAATAAATTTTGGCCACCCTTATTCTATTTCTGAGACAATTGACTTTGATAAAAAAAAAATGTTTTATTTTACTCACCCTGTACAGTGTACTAGTACTGGTATGTCACTGCCCTGAACTCCCCAGCCTAATTTACTAGGAACCATGCCCATTCAGGCAAATTCCAACACCCACATGGGAAATAATTGTTCACACACACTGTTGAACTTAGTTTCTGGAGGTATGCCAACCCCAGTGTAAAAGACCATCAGTTTAGGGGTACTGAACCTATCCCAACAGATTTAAACAATGCCTGCTGTTGAACTTTGATGGGTTGAGTTCGGTTAGGGTTAATGACAACTACATGTAAGTGTCACACATTAGTAGTTCAATACCACTGGACAGAAACTGCAGGTACCAAGTATCGTGTACAGTATCTGCAGGTACACCGTGATCCACTCCCATATCTCCATCTACATGTTAACATGAATGGATTTTGACAAACTATATCTTGTTGGATAGCCGATGAATAGGTTAACAAGCTGACAAATCGGCAAGGCTTCAGACTTGAAAGTTTTGGAGTGAGCCCCAGACGTAGGTACATGTACATGATGCCCCCAGTTTCGTTTTTGTGCAGTAAGTCCCATAGCAAGCGCTGTCAGCGCCAGCCGACATGGCTCTCATGTGTCTCGGTCTAAAGGTACCTTAACATGGATGGATTTTGACAAACTATAGCTTGTTGATAGCGGATGAACAGGCCAACAAGCTGACAAATCGGCAAGGCTTCAGACTTGAAACTTTTGGAGTGAGCTTCAGACGTAGGTACATGATGCCCCCAGTTTCGTTTTTGTGCAGTAAGTCCCATAGCAAGGGCTGTCAGCGCCAGCCGACATGGCTCTCATGTGTCTCTTTCTCAAGGTACCTTAACATGAATGGATTTTGACAAACTATAGCTCGTTGGATAGCGGATGAATAGGCCAACAAGCTGACAAATCGGCAAGGCTTCAGACTTGAAACTTTTGGAGTGAGCTACAGACGTAGGTACATGATGCCCCAGTTTCGTTTTTGTGCAGTAAGTCCAATAGCAAGGGCTGTCAGCGCCAGCCGACATGGCTCTCATGTGTCTCGGTCTAAAGGTACCTTAAAATGGATGGATTTTGACAAACTATATCTTGTTGGATAGCCGATGAATAGGTTAACAAGCTGACAAATCGGCAAGGCTTCAGACTTGAAACTTTTGGAGTGAGCTTCAGACGTAGGTACATGATGCCCCCAGTTTCGTTTTTGTGCAGTAAGTCCCATAGCAAGGGCTGTCAGCGCCAGCCGACATGGCTCTCATGTGTTGCGGTCTAAAGGTACCTTAACATGAATGAATTTTGACAAACTATAGCTTGTTGGATAGCGGATGAATAGGCCAACAAGCTGACAAATCGGCAAGGCTTCAGACTTGAAACTTTTGGAGTGAGCCCCAGACGTAGGTACATGATGCCCCCAGTAGCGTTTTTGTGCAGTAAGTCCCATAGCAAGGGCTGTCGGCGCCAGCCGACATGGCTCTCACGTGTCTCGTTCTCAAGGTACCTTAACGTGCCAGCATATTATTAATTTTTGATGAATAACCTGTCAAGGAACACCTTTCAAGGACAGGTTGCACAGTCATAATTTTTTGCAATATTTAATTAAAAATGCATGTGTCCTTTTACACCTTATTTTAAAATTTTAAATTTATATTTTTTCCATTTTCAATGGTACCGGTACTTTGGTGCCTCTTTGCAAATGCAAATTTCCATTTTCATGAGCAAAAGTGTGATGTATCGGTAAGTTTAGTCAAAAACCTCAATGTTACAGCTACCGTGTATTTAGCCAGAATTGTGGATGTTTTGCTGTCATAAATTTTCTTTTCTTTGGTGATTCGTTGTTGTGTCAATGTATGACAGTAAGCCAATTTAAGCAAATTTTTGGGTTCAAAATTTAAACAGAAAACCCCTCAATTGAACAGAGTCTTCCTGAAATGACATCATAGCAGTGTTGGAGTCGAGTCCTCAAAGTCGAGTACCGAGTTCTCAGAGTACTTTAGGGGCTGAGTCCAGGGCCGAGTCCAAGTACACTGTGACAAGTCCAAGTCCAAAGCACCTAGTACGAGTACATTCAAGGCCGAGTACTGGGCCGAGTCCGAGTACCTAAGCCTGAGTCCGAGTTCGAGAACAATACCGGTACCAAAAAAGTACAAAAATAAATTTAAAAAATAAATAAGTTAATTAAATAAAATAAAAACAAACACAACATGCATTCCACTCCTCTTTACCAACTGGTTTACACTAAACAACATTATTAGTGTAAACAATGTAAAAATAAACCAAAAGCCATCAAGTCAGTGAATGCACCAGCAGTTTTCACCATTTCTTAAAACAAAAAAAGAAGAGAAATCATGGATAGCTGGGTAGACACCAGAGGGATTGGCTATTTTGGACACCCATTCCAGACAACAAACTCGATGAAGTACACAAGAAAATGTTGTTAATAAAAAATTAACAAACCAACCAAAAGGCGAGATTTTAATTACTGGTTATTTGTTATTACATATTGAAAAACCGTGAAGCCACGAGTGAACATATGAAGCGTGAGCTTGGCTGGCTTCCGATTCACGAATCCTCAGTGTAAGTCACATTGGGGAGGCGGGAACTGGACTGAGCCGTAATACAGACTGCAACCGCGCCATTGTGCGCCAGGTTGAGCAATGGAATCGATTTAAAAGAAATGTACTGGATGTGTACTCCCGAGTACTGGGGTCGAATACCGAGTACCGGTACATGTACATGTACCAAACCGTCGAGTCCGTGCCAAATTCGAGTCCGAAGGATCGATTACGGGCCACACATTTTTTTCGAGTACTGATAGTCGAGTACGGGCCGAGTACACGTGTGTACTCGAGTTGTACTCGAGTACAAGTACGAGTACTTCAACACTGCATCACAGCAACAGCACCCTCAGTTGTCCAGAAAAGCATGGAACATTTTAAAAGTTAAAAGAAGTGCACTTTTCAATCAAATTATTGATACACACTTGAGCCGAGGAAGCCAAAATAGTGGTTTTACGAAATTTCCAGATTCGTGACCAGTTGATAAAAAAGGGAATCCAAACTTATAAGCAGACAAACACAGATGACAGAATTCCTAAAAAAGAATTGAACATCTGTTATTTTTCTCATGCAAACAATAACAATTGTACATTTACTTCCCTTATACAGTACCTTAAGAAAGTGACAACTATATGGACAGTGGATGTTGTAAACTCATGTCATCCAAATCCGTCCATAACTTTTTGAATTATCTTGTTAACAGACAAACCAACTAACAACCAAACCAACCAACAAACTAACCAAATCTAATGAAAGCTTTCTACTCGGCGGAGGTAATAATTCTGTCCAAGCTAAATCCTGGAGTCATACCTAATGAGCTGGGAAGCAATTCCATTAGTTTTAATGACTTATTACCTCAAAGACCATATTTCATTGGCCTCATGTTGGTAATTTGCACTGCAATTTGATAACGCTCAGACATATTATCGCTGACACTAATTATCTCTGTCCTACCCAAATGCTGATTTTAAATGACTAGACTGTACAAGGCCTGTACTGTTCCGCATGATCAAGCGTGCGTGTGCCATTACCAGCAACTTGGTGGCAGTAATGGGCTTAATTGGCCTCTTGTGGATGAACAATGACAGTCATTGCTCAGTTGTTTCAAACAAATTGCGTCATCCAGAAAATTAAAAAACAAAACAGTTCGGAAATTCACCCAGTGCAATATTTATTGTCACTATGCCCGGTACAACCAAAATGGTTTGTGGTTTATCACTAACAGTCTACCAGTAGGTCACGTTGTGAGTGCCGTACGGTATGATTCAGCTACTGCTAGACAATGATTCTCACACGACGCTGGTAAGTTCAGGCACAAAGAGCATACATACATTTAGGGGCCTACCGGTAGTTGCCCAAGCCAGATACTCCGGTTTTTCTTCGGGTTGGTTGATTTGGTTTGGTTTCAGGTCATTTTAAAAAAAATGCTTGTCGGTTTGGGACGGGTCAGCTTTAGGAAGTTCAGATCGGTTTCAGTTCAGATTCGTTGTTCAGGTCAGTTTGGCCTGGTCAACGTACCCGACCTGATGCACAACACTAATGCACATGTCTTATTGCTAGCAATGCATTTGATGGATGAGGCACTTAAGTCATTATTCTACCTTACACCAGTGCGTACCAGTACCAATTCAATTACAATATCGTGCCAAACGGTGAAGATAAAAGACACTACCGGTAGTTCTAATTGAGGTCAGCGAAAATCAAATGCAAAGTGTTATAAATGTGGCTATAACTTAGTTGCAAGGCAGGAAGCTATTGGGTTTTGTACAATGTACATGGGTGTTGCCATCGGGATCTATACTTTGTCATATCATATCAAATCAAATCAAGTTTAATAAGTGTTCTATGAAAATGTTTTGTTCCAGTAAACTTTGTACACAAGCCGGAATGGGATACATGTACATGTAGCTAGACTGTGAATGCTACAAACTGGGCATAAATTTACTGCTTTATTACTGAGGAATAATTCTTTATCCTGAAGTCACTTTATTCATCGTAATGGTAATTACAAACACACATGCAGTTTGTTGAATGACAGACAGTTATTTTATCAAGTGTTTCAATATTTCAATCCAAATTCAACTGATTGCAAACCTGCTCATCATGCCTCGGTATGTTTGATGGTCGAGTCGTTAAAAAGTCTCCGCTGGGAAATCAAGTTGAGGTTTACATGTAAGTCCAACCTGATCATGCTAATGACTCGATTCTCATACTGCTTATAGCTGCTTAAATGGGCCCTGATTTAGCCATCCATACGTAAGTGTTGAGAGATGGGAAACACTTAAGTTGGGATGATCTCAACTTAC